TAGCAGTGAAATAGCTGAAATAGCAGTGAAATAGCTGAAATAGCTGAAATAGCGGTGAAATAGCTGAAATAGTTGAAATAGTCTTGAAATAGAAATAGAGGTGTACACAAAAATGTCTAGTTATTTCCCCCTCGGAGCGTGCAGCGGGGCGGGTGCATACTCTGCACTCCCACCCCACCCGCCCTGGCGCTGGCCGTGGCCGTGAGTCAACGCCGTTCCATGAAGCGCGGACACCGCCCACGCTCCCCTGCCTTTCGGCTCTGAGTCAGCCGCACCCCCACTGGCGGATGACTGCGGATACGTGCGAGGGAAACTTTAGTTCAACAAATCAGTGGTCACCCCAAAAATATCAGATAATCAGAAAAATATTGAAGGAAACAGAACAAAAAAAAATAAAGGAAAATCAAAAAAGAAAAAAGAAAAATTCATAAAATATCAACCAAAAACATCAAAAGACATTTAAATCAAAAGAATATATGGAAATCAAGAAAAAGTAGAGAAATTGGTGTGCGCTTATTGAATTTATGGTAAAGCACTCCTCGGCAGAGGACGCCCTGCTGTCTCTGCACAGTGCACACCCCTCTCTCCAACTGTCAGCAGCATCCCTGGTCCACGTGGGGCTCCGCGTGGTCCACAACGTGCGAGCGGGGGAGAGAGAGGTGGTTCGGAGGAGGTGGGGGAGGGAGAGAACAATAACGCACCAGCTGTCGCCCTACCCTATCTCCTACCAGTATCGTCACAGTGGGGCCTTCCCTTCCGCACGGATACTGACACTCGCTCTCTCGGGTTTGCGTCGGCTGAGGTCACGGCGGGGCACGCGGAATGGGGCACGGATCGCTTAATAAAAGAAAAAGTGCGGGGAAAACCTAGAAGTCGAGGAAGAAAACACGCCCGCGTTAAAAATAACGCATCGTAACTCATTCATACGGCCGTCTGACGCGAGGGGACAGATAACAGCGCGACAACGCGTGATCCCACTGGGGATACAAAGGTGTTAAGTCACACATTGAAAAGTTGCTCGGGGTTTGGTGTCTTTACAAAGGAATTTCACTCAAAATTTCTACAGCATAGGTGCTACTCAGCACCTTTGTTTTTCCAGTGCCATATCACAGCAGAGCCGGGTCAGATTCCAGTGGAACCCTCCCCTCCGCCCCTGCCTCGGCAAGTCCGGTGCAGAAACCTTACGCTGGTTCCAAGCCACCGCACCGTTCTGGTGGGGGTGGGGGCTGGGACTTTGCCGAAGGAAAAGCACACAGGCGGCTGATGCTGCTGTAGAGTCAGGAGCCCACATTCCCCCACCGCTGCGGCCGCACCCCAGGGGGGGTCCGGGTCCGGGGGTATCACCCGGGCGAAGGAGCATTGAACTGCGGCTGGATCAATAGGACGTGGGGGTGGGCTAGGGTAGGTCGGCCAGCGGGGGTGGGTGTTGGGGTAGGGGTGAAACGCCCGTCGAGAGAGTGTGTGTGTGTGTGTGTGTGTGTGTGAGACAGACAGACAGACGGACAGAAACGAAGATACAGGGGCAGAGAGACTGAGAGGGACGCACTGTGGTGCGCCCACCAAGCAACAAAAACGGAATTTAATCTGTCAATTGTCAAAAGAGTTGAAAACACTTCATTGAATAGACGAAGGGTTTCTGCTAAAGTTGAATATTTCTCACGACTATTTGAAAACTTTTCCATGAAAAATCTTCAAATTTCCCCTCCCTTAAAATATACGTCCCTTTGCAAACGATTACCAACAGCTGTTGTTTCCATTTAATGCAAGCACTTCATTCTCAGTTTTGAACGTTTTCATTTCGTGCCCAAAGGGCTCTACAAGGGGTGGGTGAGAGAGGAGAGGGTGAGCGGTGCCGCCCCTCCCGCCCGGAGTGCCAATGACCCTGATGGCTGGCGGCACGAGGCCCGACCCGACACAAGGTCACTCTCGCTGTATCGACCGGTGAGGCCTACGGGCCCAGGGCCGGGCTCGTGAAGGGCCTTCTGCTGGGAGCGCCGACCGGACAGGGGTGGATGGCTATGATGGGGGAATCATGGGGACATCTCTATCTCTCTGGATGTATCGCCTTCCCCAGTGACGGTGAAGGAAGCGTCAGGGGGAGGGGGGATGACAGGACGAACAGAGCATCGGCCGGCGACCTCAGCGGCGAGTACAGTCTACTGCAGCGCAGGGCGAGGCCGGTCAGAGTCGCATTCTCCGACTGACATTTCCTCCACTGTGGATAAAGTTGCCTACGCGGAAAAAAATAATGAGTGGAAAATTGACACAAGTCGGCTATACTGTGCAAATTACTTTTGTAGAGTTAAGGGGTCTTTCCTCCCCTTTTCATCTGATTTGAGTAACGTCGGATTTATGAGATTTGGATGCATCTATTAATTTATGGCATGCGTTTCTCGATGAACCACTACAAGTGTGCGGTACTTCAATTGACTAGTGAATTTTTAAGTTGAGTGTCGTCTGTGGAGCAATCTAATTGTGTGAGAATGGATAAATTTGGCTAAGGCCATTCGTGGTCTTACCTGCTCGTCGTCCTCCTGGTGGGGTAGGGCTTCTTCCTCCAGGCAGGCGTCCGATGCCACCCCCGCCCCGCCCCGCCCGCCCGGGCCACGAGGGTCTGGATCTGGAGGCTCGCCGGCCGGTGCGGGCCGCCGGGCGGGGCGCCGCCGGGCGGGGCGGGGTGCGGCACCACGACCTCCTCCGCGAACTCCTCGGGCTCGACTGAGTCCAGGACTGTCAGTCCTGCGAGCTCCCGGAGGGGGAGGGGGTGAGAGCTTTAACCAATTCTAGCGGGGGTGGGGTGGCGCGCCACTCTCTCGTTCGACCTTGGGTCCTTATGGGCCGGTGAAAGGGAGAGTGGACGAGGAGGTGGGGGTTGAGAAAGGCCGTGGTGGGGGTGGGGGTGGGGGCTGCGATGACCCGGAGGGGATCCCCATGACTCTAGACGGCGGGCGCTCTCTCGCCTGTCCCGCAGCTTCGCCGTGTGGAACACCATCATGGGCACGTCGCTGCTGGCCATGCCGTGGGGCCTGGAGCGCGCCGGCCTGCTGGGCGGCCTGCTGCTGGTCGTGGGCATGGGCGCCCTGTGCCTCTACACCACGTTCCGCGTGCTCAGCGTGCACCGCCTGCACGGCTCGAGCCACGACGCGTCGGCCGAGGTGCCGGAGCTGTGCCGCAAGCTGCTGGGCCGCTGGGCCGAGCTGCTGGCGCGAGTCTTCAGCCTGGTCGTCCTCCTCGGCGCCGTCATCGTCTACTGGATCCTCATGAGCAACTTCCTCTTCCACTCCATCGACTACCTCCACGGTGAGCCTTCGTCGAGGGCAGACAGAGACAATGTCATTTTACTGTCCGATCCACGAGGTAAAGCGGTGTGAAAAGAGAGATTTATCGTGTTAAAGATAGACAGATAAGGACTTTGGTCCGAGCGTGTCATAGCGCCTGTGGGGTAGGCAACTTCTTGCTCGCGGTACACCGGAGTTGGGGTGGTGGCCTATCTTCGGTTCGCGGGGGCTCCCACGACCGGCGGTGCGAGTGAGCGGGAAGGCCTCTGATGGCATTTATTAGGGTAGTTATGCGGTCGAGTATGATGGAAGTGATGGTGAGTTTACCGTGTTGCAGATGAGGTGACGGGCGTGAGTCCGGTGCGGTTGGAAAACGTGTCCAAGATCTTCACTCCAGGTGAGTCTCCTTTCCTCCCCTCCTCCTCTGGGACGCTCGACAGGATTCTGAAATGTATGTGGTCCTTTGCAGTCAAGTGCCACCTCTTGACGGGCACGGGTGAGACTCCGCTGATCACTTCGGCCCTTGCGGGGGCGTCTGTTGCTGCCCCTGGGGACCCAGCGACCCTCGCAGAGGAGGACACCTTCCATCAGTGGTGGAACCTGGAATCCAACGTCCCAATCTACTTAGTGCTGATTATGGCACCCCTCATGAATTTCAAGTCGGCCACCTTCTTCACCAAATTTAATTCTCTTGGTAATTGTTTTTTTCAGCATGAAATGAAAATCTGTTTACCTTTTGTGGAAAAAACGGTATTAATTTTAGTCTAATTAATTGCAGGTACTCTATCAGTACTTTATTTGTTGATTTTTATTTTGGTGAAGTCTTCTGCATGGGGTGTTAATTTAAATGTTCACGATGTACTAAGTGAGCACTACAGCCCGTTATTCAAGATGAGTTTTCCTGCAACCTCAGGAATGCTTGCTCTTTCCTACTTTATCCACAATATTATAATTAGCATTATGAAAAACAACCGTCATCAAGAAAATAATGTAGGTAGAAGCACTTATTTTTCTACGCAATACTTTTAATTACTGTGAAACTTGAAATTTTCCATCTGCTCTCTTCCTTAATACAGGGCCGAGATCTTTCAATTGCTTATGTGTTAGTCACGGTAACTTATTCAGTTATTGGAGGTGTTTTCTATATCAGCTTCCCTTTGGTTAAATCATGTATTGAAGATGTGAGTATCTTTTATATTTTATAGCTGAACAAGTTTTATATTGCCTCATATTTTATTTTAAATGCTTATT